TCGATTAAATTATTTTCAACATTTTTGTAGGTCTGCTGAATAATAACCTCCGCAATCATGTCAACAACTAGAAAAAAATGAATGTATCGTTATGTAACTTACATTTAACCTTGATGTAAAGAGGACATCATTAGGAAACTCACCATTTGCTTCAACCTTGACATTTTGTAAAGGAACAGGTTTTATTTCTTCGTAAACAAGACCGAATATTTGCATTTTGACGAATTGCGTGCAATCTTTATGGACGATGGTGAATATTGAATATTGTTGTCGTTAAATAGGAAAGGGATTTTTAATTTCGTAACGGAATTTCCATATTTAGATTATACAATCACAGGCGTCATTTTGGGAATAATTTAGGCTCATATGACTCCAAGTTACGCCACTTTCATGTACTGTACTGTATTGTACAGTAATGGGGAATAACTGATAATTTTTCTATATATAATTCTCTCAATTGTAAAAAATCAATTTACAATATACAGTAATTGAATGGTTTTTTGTGTGTGTGTGTTGTTGTTAGTGACAAAAGGTTTTATAGATTTTTCTCTCACGTTTTGAAGCTTATCATTTTTGTAGTGCTAGTTTTATATGGTCATATTCATTTTATCGATTACTTTAATTTACTGTACATAACCATCGTATATACGAGTGGGTATAGTATAAAGATTTTTTTTAAATACTGTATACATGTACTGTATATTTAATTTAATGCATTATTAATAAAACATTGGATGATAATAGTAATGTTTTGAATAGTTTACAATTAGTTCAAAGCAAATTAACAAAATTTTTTAAAAATTAAATAAATTTAAGATATAACAAGGAAATTACATTGTAACTACTGTACGTATACAGTACAGTACAAATTAAATATCAAAAATACCGTACCAGGATTTTATTCATAATTTATAATTTAAAAACATTGGTTATTTATAAATTTTATAAAAGATTCAATCAAGTTTTTTATTTAATCCGTTGATTTATTTTTGTAACAAATTTTTATTAAACTGTCTTGTTCTGTTAATAGCCATCTGAATAATGAAATTACTTCTCAATAAATTACATAAATAATAAATTACCTAGATAATACGAATTATTTGCGAATTATTATTAATAATACTTTTTATTTTTTATGATTTCGTACCAGGGTTTGATATATCACAAAATAAACAAGACTTAAAAGTAAATTAAAAACATATTATAACAAATCTACAAACCATTGACACTATATAGAATTATTTTTTCAGCTTTCTGTTTTTTTATTACACAAAATATTTTTTACTCTTTATATAATTTGATGGCATTCACATTACTTATTTTTTTTAAACAACTAGCATATTCTGTTTATTATAATTGATTGGACATACATTCCGAATAATTATACTGTACGGTATATATTAGGTAATATTATTATATAATTTTGAATCTATTTTGCTATAATAAACTTATTAGAATGATTATTCTAAGTTATCCACCATGCAGTTAGTTGCTATTACTTTTACTACTTTAAAGCACCCTCTTTATCATCCGTAGCTCTCATAAATTATACTTATATATTATAAATATTGAATTAAAATAGATATTATCTATGGTTCTTGCAAATTATCCTTTATAATACAAAGATATCTTAAAGTACTGGATTGAAATAAAAAAGTATAGTATAATAAAAAAATAATTAGAATATCATACAATGACATCATGATTAAAGAATAATTTATAGAACTGTTAGTTATAACTGGATATGTAAGAACTTATCTGTTTTACTTAGGTTATAAAATTAAATTAAAACTTTATTACAAAAGTATTTTGTTCTTCTTATATAAAAAAGTGATAAATAAATATGTTTATTTTGATTAAAAATGTATAAAAATTAAATTTAATATTTAAATAACTTATATAATATTCAAATGATTCATAAAAAAATAATAACAATAAATATAAAAATATAAAATACAATATAAAATATAAAAACAATTAATATATATTATATTATATTACAAAGTAAAATTTTTAATAAAATTGTTTTAATAACAAATTACTACTAAATTTATTATATATTTAATATAATAAGTTATAATTCATATATAAACATTATTTTTTTTGTCTCTAATTAGACTACAATTAGCTGTGTTTATTAATTTTTCATAAAAACAAACCAATAATACATTGAACCCTAAGGCTTTATACTAAAACTAAATTGTGCATAATGCAGAACACTTGTCAATGAATTATTTTTAGATTTGTATATAATCCTTGAATCCTTAATACCGAGATCACCATGTCACTTCCATAATTTAACTATTTATTAACTATTTCACTACAAGGAAGTTAATTTATTAAGCTATTACTACATGATATTAACTATCTTAAACTTTTCAAATCCTAACTCTCTAAGTGTAATTATGAAGAATAATAAAATCATATTTTTTCAAGATTTCTTTTTGGCCTTGAGAAAAATTATAGTTAGCCTACATTTAAATTGTCACACCAATATGAACCTGTGATTTTAAAAGATAAAAAATTTTATTTTGTTAAAAAAATAAAAGAAAATAAAAAAGGTAGTTGAAAAGTTTGTTCTGATAAATAAAAACTCTCTAGTATTAACTTTGATTCATTAAGATAAATTCTTTACTACCACTTGCAGCTGAATGAATCATTTAATTTTTACTATTTCATTGTTGACCATAAATATTCAAGATACTTATATCAGGAAATTTTTTAGCAAAGATCTCTGAAGATCTTTGGGTGTAGACCTCCAAAGGACCTCCGTCGTCGTTAAAAGACTCCGAAGCAAAGGTTACTATATTAAATTCTGGAGATCTTCAATTTATTTTAATAATAATAAAATATATTTATATTTACATATTATAATCTATTAATATTCAATT